GTTTTTGTTTTTACCCCATCGGGAGTGTATTTTGATGGAGTGATTTTGAATACATCCGGTTATATTTAAATTTATCAAACAAAACGAGACTTGCTATTTGCAACTTGCAAGAAAGAAAAAGAAATAACCAATTCAAGCGCTGTTGTCTTCCTCTTTTTTCTCATCGACCCACACCACAGACCAGTGTCACTAATAGCCCATTTTGGCCTACTCAAGCTGCCTCGTCCACCAAGCTGGCGTCACCCCAGGCAATCCTCAAAACCCCCATCCTCTAGCTCCCATCATCCTCGTCGTGCCTCGGTGCGCGTATTCTTCAGGAAAATCAACTGGTGTCGATTCTATTTTCGGGGAACTAACTTTTAACAAATACATAGGTAAATATCCAATAAGAACATACTTTCTAGAAATATATTATGTCGGTTGGTCCACTCATCCATCACTAGTAGTGCCAATGCCTTATGCCTCTTCCTGCGTCCCATCCCCCCTCCCCCCCGCGCGCGCGTCCATCTTTCTCTTTGCCTTGATTCTTAACCGTATCTTGTCATGGTTTTCTCATCTCGCATGCTTCTTATCTCTGATGACTTCTCACCAAATCTGCCGTTGCATTTCCCGACTCCCAATCTTGACCATTACTTTGTCTTATTAGATTGGCATCGCCCATGAGATATGCTCACACACTTTCGCGATGCTCCGCCCCAAGTGCCAATTCAAACAACATCACATTGTATTGCAACTACAACTATTGGAAAATTCATTTAACACGAATGAGTCTAAGGATCCTTACTAAAAAGAATAGACCCGTGATGCCATTTTTTTATCCAATGTCGGTAAAGTCATGTTTTCAAATTTTCAAGAATACAAATTCAATTTCAAACAATTACAAAGCCACTCAATAAATAAAAATAATAATAAAAGTTTTGAAACTTCGCACAAAATCCCTGAATGCAAAATCTTAAATGGAAGTATGAGTCAAATCTCTAAACCATAATCTATGGGGGTTTGTGATAATACACTAACCATGCCCGTGCGTGACGGGGCAAAAATCACGACTCACGCATGAGTGCCGATTGAACACGCCCACGTACGGCGCCAACGGTGTGGGCTGGTGTCCACCAACTCAGACCCAGTTCTTTTGCCAGAATCTCGAGATTCTCCCAAAATCCGATTCCTATCCAGCTTCTCTTAGAATCCTTAAGCCTCATTTGTTTTACAATCTTGTTTAATTAGACCATAACTAGATAGGATTGTAAAACAAATGTGGCTCAATTTTTTTGGAAGAAGTTGGATAGGGGTCAGATTCTGAGAGAATCCCCAGATTCTGGCAAAAGAACTGGGCCTCAAACGGCCATCGAATTGCGTGGTGGGGGACGGACTCCGCGAGGCTAAATTTCGTGTTTTGACCCTTTTCTGAAACCTATTCGAGATTTGATCCTAGTTTGAATTTTTTTCGAGATCTGACCCTTTTGCTACCGTCAGAGACCATGGCGATAGGGTATAACAGCCTACCGCCAAGGTCCCTGGCGGTATGGTTGCATGACCTACCGCCAAAAACCTTCTAAGTATTGAACACAATGCGTGCTCATGCCTACCGTCAACCACCTTGACAATAAGGTTGTGCAGGCTACCGCCAGCCCGGTTGGCGGTAGCGATGTTTCCTACCGTCAAAGTCCCTGGCGGTAGGCTGTTAAACCCTACCGTCATGGACTCTGACGGTAGCAAAAGAGTCAGATCTCAATTTTTTTAAACTAGAGTCAAATCTTAAATAGGTTTTAAATTTCAAATAAGTTTTAGAAAAGGGTCAAAACACGAACGCGACCGCCTCTCCCTCCTCTCCCTATCCGCGGCCGGTGCCGTAGCGCTTCCTCCTTCTCTCCCTCCCGTCCCAGGCTCCCAGCCGCCTATAAATTCCCCTCCCCCTCCCGTCTGCTATCCTCACATCTCGCCGGAAAATCTTCTCAACCGATCGAAGCGAAGGCCATCTCGTCCCCCTCCTCAAGGTATGCGGCCCTCCGACCGTTCCCTTTGCCTCCTCCTGTTCATAGATTATTGTTTGTAGTGCTCGATTGCTGTTAGTCGTCTGGAGTAGATCTGCTGCGTAGGCGCTATTATTGTCGGTCGATTGCTCCTGGTTCGGTTACTCGAGGTTGATTAGGCTCGGTTGTAGTTGAAATAGTTTTGGAATTCATATTCTGTGGCTAAATCTCTCTATTATGCGTGGATTTTCGAGTACATCTGCCGATTCCGATGGGTTTGCTGCCGTTTCGGTTCATCTATATCACTCTAGTTGCAGTTAGCTAATTCCCCTAGGTTTTTCATCTATATAGGAGTAGTATTATTGTGGACTTCTGATTTTGTGGCCCTCATATTGCACCCTTGCCTGATCTGTAAGGACTAAGGAGTATACCTGATAGCCATGTAGTTGTACGTCGATTTTCGTGTAACATGTTTGCTTCCACGAGGCTTAATGATTGAACTTCTGCTAAAATTTATCCCTTGTCTGTCAATCGATCAGCTACTTCTCTTCTACAGTTCAGGTTATTCTTAACCATCTATGTATTGTTTGATGCCCTTCAGTTTTCCTTATACTGTCCCTTACCCATGAGGCTAGAGATTGCGCTAGCTGATAGAACTGCTAATATATTTGTGACAGCGGGTCCTTCAAAAGTTATCACTGTCAATCATTTGATTAGCTTATTCTAGGGTTTTCTTAGTTACAATTCCATCCCTGTTGTATCATCTGGTTCCATGTATTGTTTGATCTACTACAGATTTCTCTGTACCGTTTCTAACTCTTCGGCGTGCTTTGTTGTTTACAGATGCAGATCTTTGTGAAGACCCTCACGGGCAAGACCATCACCCTTGAGGTCGAGTCCTTGGACACTATCGACAACGTCAAGGCTAAGATCCAGGACAAGGAGGGCATCCCTCCGGACCAGCAGCGTCTCATCTTCGCTGGCAAGCAGCTCGAGGATGGCCGCACCCTGGCTGACTACAACATCCAGAAGGAGTCCACCCTCCACCTGGTGCTCAAGCTCCGGGGTGGCATGCAAATCTTCGTGAAGACCCTCACCGGCAAGACCATCACCCTTGAGGTCGAG